ATGCAGGACAATGAGAACGACTGTGGTGTGTTTCGCGATGCGTGTGATGCACACATTGGTCGAGGATGGTTTCCGTAACCTCCCTGCGTGTGAGCTTGTCGGTACGCCACTCAAATGGCGCCGTCAGTACCGTCGCGATTTGAGAAGTGGTCTGTGTTTTTTCGGGGAAAGACGATGGTGGAGGTTAGAGGTGGGCATGAGGCGGGTCTAAGCTAGTAATGGGGCGGGGAGCTTGGTGGAACGCGACTGGAATGAGAATGACAGGGTGAGCGAAGGGGGATGAGGCTGATAGCAAGGGGGAGTGAGGGCGGGTATGAAGTGGGGATTGAGACGGGTAGCAAGGGAGATTGAGGCGGGTAGCAAGGGGGAATGGGGCGGGTAGCAAGGGGGAATGAGGCAGGTAGCAAGGGGGAATGAGGCGGGAAGCATGGGGAATGAGGCAGGTAGCAAGGGGGAATGAGGCGTGTAGCAAGGGGGAATGGGGCGGGTAGCAAGGGGGAATGAGGCGGGAAGCATGGGGGAATGAGGCAAGTAGCAAGGGGGAATGAGGGCGGGTAGCAAGGGGGGATGGGGCGGGTAGCAAGGGGGAATGAGGCGGGTAGCAAGGGGGAATGAGGTGGTTAGCAAGGGAGAATGGGGCGGGTATGAAGTGGGGATTGAGGCGGGTAGCAAGGGAGATTGAGGCGGTAGCAAGGGGGAATGGGCGGGAAGCATGGGGGAATGAGGCAAGTAGCAAGGGGAATGAGGCGGGTAGCAAGGGGGAATGGGGCGGGGTAGCAAGGGGGAATGAGGTGGTTAGCAAGGGGGAATGAGGTGGTTAGCAAGGGAGAATGGGCCGTGTATGAAGTGGGGATTGAGGCGGGTAGCAAGGGGGAATGGGGCGGGAAGACTGGGGGCATGAGGCAGCAGTAGCAAGGGGAATGAGGCAGGTAGCAGGTGGAATGGGGCGGGTAGCATGGGGGAATGAGCGGGGTAGCATATGAGAATGAGGTGGTTAGCAAGGGAGAATGGGGCGTGTATGAAGTGTGGATTGAGGCGTGGTAGGAAGGGAGATTGAGGCGGGTAGCATGGGGGAATGAGGCATGTAGCGATGGGGGAATGAGGCGGGTAGCAATCGGGAATGAGTTTGGTAGCATGGGGAATGAGGCAGGTAGCAAGGGGGAACGAGGCAAGTAGCAAGGGGGAAGTGAGCAGGGTAGCAAGGGGGCATGAGGGTGGATAGCAAGGGGGGAATGAGGCAGGTAGCAGGGGGAACGAGGCAGGTAGCAAGGGGGAATGAGGCTGGTAGCAAGGGGAATGAGGCATAGGCAGGTAGCGGGAGGCAGGAGGGGATGAGGCGGGTAGCAGCTACAGCATAGGGTGAACTTATTGGGCCTATGTTGTCAAACAAGACCTATAAGGAAGGAGTCTATTTGTCCCACCGTCCAGTCCATCGTGACAAGCCAACAAGCAAGTCACAGAACGCGTGGGTGAGGCTTCGAAACAGTCCCCATCACTCACATGACCAAACAGCAAGTGGTTTGTCACCTCCTGTCAAGCATGAAATAAGAACATACAACATATCAAGCAATTGATTTATGCACTATAGCTGCCCTACAGGACAGAAGTGCAGACACGCCCCATGATGGGAGTTTGTGTTGGAAACATCGGTCCTAAGCGCCTGTGTCGTGTCGAAACACCAAGACACAAAACGAAGCAAAACACTACGGTATCGAAAGCACCAGCGAGTCAACCCTCGGAGGTTGAAGTAACTGTCGGAGGTTACGCGAAGGGTCAAAGGTCAGCGACCTTTGACCTGACAAGTACAGCGCGACAGCAAGGACACACAACTGACTCGCTGCAGAGCAGTTGCCCGAGTCGTCACTGTATCGAACCGCAACAGCAACAGTAAAGTTAGTTTGCAACCGTATCTCTTCGTATTCCTTGTACTCTTATATAATCTTGTAATCTCTTTGCTTTAATCAACTTACTTTGCCCTCACATACTAGCGCAAGGTGGTTCACAACACTTTAATTAACGCTTCCGCTACTACACCAAGTCTAACCCAGAGTTCACACCTTGCAAAGATCCTAAGGGCTTTTCAGCCAACTGTTTGTGTAGGGCACTGGTAATGTTGCACCACAAATGACATACCAGTAGCTACCTTGTTGCGACACCAGATATATTATTTACCTAACCATATTTAAACAACAATCAAGGTAACATGGTCACTGCTCTCCTTAAACAAATTTGACAGTTGGTCCCGTGAAGGATGTGTCTGGTTATGCACTGTCGGTGGTCATACTTGTGAGTAAACGTACGGTATTGGACAGCTCAACATTCCTTTGGTAGTAATGATTTATATGTTCTTTCAAACACTGTAATTGCAGGCCTTGCAAATAAATGTGTCATTTTGTGCCCCCCGTGCACCATACCACTTACCTCAGTTCATTGCCACGAACGTTGTTCTCTCCGACTTGCGACCCAATCGCCACCACTCACAACTAACTCCCGAGCATGCGTTCTTATCGCAGGTGTTCCATAACGGCTTCGTATCAGACTGTCGCATCGCTGTACAAACTGCGCCAATGTTCGTCCCCGTTTCTCCGAAGTGGCGATTTTACTATTGACGTGCGCCTGCGCCAAGCTTCGCGTGCGGCACGCGTGAAAAGACTCATGAAAATTAGCCACATAAAGTCTGTGCGGGCAGAATAGATATCTTTCGTGAGCCCTAATACACTAGCGCACTTTTAAGCACTAGCAACATTTTGTATCGCTCCCTGCCGCTAATGGACAGATAAACCCCACTCCCACTGAATCATGCCCCATTGGAGCCGCAATTTTTTATGGATGCACGTTAACCACCGTGTGATTGGTTGTTGTTGGGGAAACGAGGGACCTGGATGTCGCAAGGTGGAACAGAGCAGGAAACACTCAAACCCTCGTCACCTCCCGTGCTCCTCTTGCGTGCCTGCTTGTGGGTCGGTCATCTGCTCCAGGCCCCTGTCTGATCCTCGTCCCTTCTATGCTCAACAATTTTTTAGTGCGCGAAGCGTAGCTGTCAGGTTGCAACGTCATAACTAACCCACACCTCAGACTACTGCGTGAATGGAAACCTAGACATTGCAATGGATAGTCAGACGATTAAGGGGCCCGATGGGGCGATCGTTTTGGCAGACTCGTCGAAATTGCTGGAGGAAAAAAATTTATATGGAGTTAGTTACAGTAGATAAAATGGCCGAGATCGTTAACGAGTACCGCAAGTACAATGCGTCGTCGGCGCGTGATAACGTTGAGTCAGGACGTGACTCTTCATCTGGTGACGAATCAAATAGCGACGGCGATGTTGGGCCATACGCTAACAAGGGCGTGTCCTCCCCTCCAAAACCAAGGGAGAGGCGCGTGAGGCGCTTATGACATCGGTCCCAAAGCCGGCCAGAAAGGTACGTGTCTTTGGTACCATCTGCTGAAAGGTAGACTTGCATGATTAATTACCTCCGACCGATCCAGTAAGTGCGGTTTGCCGTCGTGTTTGACTTGTTCCCGTTACTGAAGCTCCGATTGTGCTCCCCCGTAACATTGTCAGAGGACAAGCGTGACAACCGAAAGGAGTAAGCGCCGTCAATAAAAGAGAGGCACTACTTCACATGCTGCGTCTGAAGGCGACGAGGAGGTCGAGGACGGCGGACCCGTCAAAGAAGGTGCGTGTTTGTGTAATATCGCCGGTTTCTAAGTAGCACGTTACTCCCTGCATCGACTGATCATACTGATGCCACTTCGTGCAATTAAGGTTAGCGCGCACTGGACTGCTAATGTTCTTGTGATGTCCGCCCTCGCAGCTCCGTCAGCAGGCAGGCGTGCAAGACAACGCGGTAGATGTTATGACCGTAGCGGGAGGGCTGCGGAGTATCCTGGCAGTCCATCTGGCCGCCTAGGAATGTCTGCGCGTGGCGACGAGCAGGAACATGGTGAGCTTGAAGGGCGTGGTGGTGGAAAGCGCAACAACGCGAAGGCGGCGGCGGCGGCCAAGGGCAGTCCCTCGGGGAGGCTCTCGAAGGACGTGGCTGGTGGCGACAAGCAGGAACATGGCGAGATTGAAGGGCGTAGTGGTGGAAAGCGAAACAACGCGAAGGCGGCGGCGGCAAAGGGCAGTCCCTCGGGAGGCTCTCGCAGGAGGTGGCTGGTGGCGACGAGCAGGAACATGGCGAGCTTGAAGGGCGTGGTGGTGGAAAGCGCAACAACGAGAAGGCGGCGGCGGCGGCCAAGGGCAGTCCCTCAGGGAGGCTCTCGCTGGATGTGGCTGGTGGCGACGAGCAGGCGCTGCCCAGGCCCGTTATAGAAGGTTGGCGGTTCCTGGCTACTTTTGTCGTTGATTTTGAGGTTGCATAGCCTTCGCTGCCCACCCTCCTTGTATATTGTTACCTGTTGCACCAGCAACTATGTCGTGAGTGACGTGACACCGAGATTGTCTCTCTCATATCCCTCTCGCTGCAGGGCTAGCAGAGCAGCGAGGTGGTGGCGGTATCGATCAGGATGAGGACAAGCCTGCAGCAGTGACTGCTGGGAAAGAACATGGACGTGAAGCTGTGATTCCGTACAAACGACGCAATGCTGTGGACTCGGCCGGTCGCGACCGAAATGCGAGACAAGCTCGACAAGGGACGAAACAGTATGTTTCGAGCTCGTCGGGTTCGGAGGAGGGATCCAGCGATAGTGAGTCAGGCAGCTCATCCGGGAGTGAGGAAGTATACGAGGACGAGGAGGAGGAGGAAGAGGAAGAGGAGGATGAGGAGTTGGAGCCGGAGAGCGAGGATGAGGAGGAGGCTCGGCCTTTGAAGAGGAGGTGTGCGGAAGACCAAGAAGGGCAATGGAAAGCAAAAATCGGAGACAGGACGGGTGAAGAGCTATAAGCAGAGTGTGCGTCGTGCCAAACCACATGGCAAGCGCCAGAGACCTCGATTCGAAGCTAAATTGTGGGTGTGCGTAGCAAGGAGAAGCGGGAGTTGGATTTTTACGAGTCCATGGGGCTACGATGTCCATCAAGCCCTCATGATCGGAAAGCCACCGACACGTATGCTGCGTTACGCGAGCAGATGGATTCGTCTGGGAAGGGAGATCCGATCGCTTGGGGGTCAGCGCGGTTTGGCAGGGAAGCGACGGACCCGCATGCAAAGCTTTCGGGGGGTCACGCGGTTCAGGTGAAAATCGAGGGAGCAACGAAGCGGCACGAACCCTCGGCCGCCGCAGCAGCCAATGACGGTGTGGAGGAGGTGTGTGGGGCGAATTCCTTGGGTGAATGTGGCGGCGGTGTGGAAGGCTCCATGTGGGATGTACGGGATAGCAAGGGAGAAGGAGGAGACTTGAAAATGGATCCAGCGACTAAGGAGGGGAGGGGCGAGAGCATGGGCACACCTGGCGCATCCAGTCGGCCCAACGTGGCTGGCGGCAAGACGGTGGAGCAGCTCATGCGGGAGCTTGCCCAGCGGGATCGCGAAATTGCGGCACTCAAGGCAAGGCCAGGAGCCAAAGGACCTGTCAACCCTGCACCCCTCCGTCTAGGCCTCCTCCTATTGCGTCTCTGTCGAGCGGCCCATCTGCAGTGGGCCTCGATCCAGGCGTGGCGCCAGAAAGCCCATCGACGGACGTAACGTACCGGTCTGTCGAACGCGTGGGATGCCCAAGCCCAAGCTGCTGAAGGTGGGTATGTTTAAGTGTTAAGCAATGTGTGGCATGGGGCTCAGTGATAGCTGCAGCTCTCTCTCTCAACACCTCGTTCCCCCCCTCTTTATGCTGGTCAGAGTGTTTGTACCATTATGCGCAGTGATAGCGGCCTGGCTGCGGTGTGATAGGCACTCCCAGTACGCCCCGCTTCACGGACGCTGGTGCTGGGCGTACGATACTCTCCACTCTGCCCCACCTCTGCGAGCTCACCATAACTGTTCTATTTCCTCCCCCCCCCCTCTCTCCCGTCACTCCACCTCCTCTTCCAGAGCCCCTGTTCATGGCGCTGCTTGTCTGGTATGGGTGGCATGCGGCGCAGAGATAGCAGCAGCCTCTCTGTCATCCCTACGCGCACAATCCCTTCTTTCCGCTTGCTCCCCCCCCCCCCCCCCCCCCCCCCCCTCTCTATCCCACCCCTCCCCTTCCTCTTCCAGAGCCCCTCTAAACGGTGCTGCTGGTCTGGTGTGGGTGGCATGCGGCGCAGAGATAGCAGCAGCCCTCTCTGTCATCCCCACGTGCCCATCCCTTCTTTCCGCTTGCTCCTCCCCCCCCTCTCTATCCCACCCCTCTCCTCCTCTTCCAGAGCCCCTCTAAACGGTGCTGCTGGTCTGGTGTGGGTGGCATGCGGCGCAGAGATAGCAGCAGCCCTCTCTGTCATCCCCGCGCCCAATCCCTTCTTTCCGCTTGCTCCTCCCCCCCCCCCTCTCTATCCCACCCCTCTCCCTCCTCTTCCAGAGCCCCTCTAAACGGTGCTGCTGGTCTGGTGTGGGTGGCATGCGGCGCAGAGATAGCAGCAGCCCTCTCTGTCATCCCCACGCGCCCATCCCTTCTTTCCGCTTGCTCCTCCCCCCCCCTCTCTATCCCACCCCTCTCCCTCCTCTTCCAGAGCCCCTCTAAACGGTGCTGCTGGTCTGGTGTGGATGGCATGCGGCGCAGAGATAGCAGCAGCCCTCTCTGTCATCCCCACATGCCCAATCCCTTCTTTCCGCTTGCTCCTCCCCCCCCCTCTCTATCCCACCCCTCTCCCCTCTTCTTCCAGAGCCCCTCTAAACGGTGCTGCTGGTCTGTGTGGGTGGCATGCGGCGCAGAGATTGCAGCAGCACTCTCTGTCATCCCCACGTGCCCAATCCCTTCTTTCCGCTTGCTCCTCCTCCCCCCCCTCTCTATCCCACCCCTCTCCCTCCTCTCCAGAGCCCCTCTAAACGGTGCTGCTGGTCTGGTGTGGGTGGCATGCGGGCGCAGAGATAGCAGCAGCCCTCTCTGTCATCCCCACGTGCCCAATCCCTTCTTTCCGCTTGCTCCTCCCCCCCCCTTCTCTATCCCACCCTTCTCCCTCCTCTTCCAGAGCCCCTCTAAACGTGCTTCTGGTCGCGTGTGTGGCATGCGGCGCAGCGTGTAGCGGGCCGGGCTGCAGGGGGGGTTGTGACTCTTAGTACGAGGAGAACATGACCCCTTACGCAGTCCGTACGGTGCTCTCACACTCTGCTTCCCTCTCCCATATGATTTCACTCAGACTAGTTCATCCCCTCTCTCCCCCCTCTTATCTCCCTGCTCTCCCCTACCTCAACCAGAGCCCCTGTTCATGGTGCTGGTGGTGGTGTGGGTGGCCTGCGGCACGTGTTACCAAAATCCCACTCTCTCGACCTCTGGTTTCCGCCCTTCTTTGGAGTCACCCACATATCCTTTTTTCCTATCCATCCGGCTGTCGTAGGTTCATTTCGCAGAGGGGCGGGACCGGATGTGCCTCGAGGCGCCAGACCATGCCATAGACTTCTAACCCAACGCTCGAACAGAGCGCGTGCAGATGTTGTATGAGGTTATCAGCGAGACGCACATCATCAACATGATGCAGCTGCGAGAGGCTATGGAAGACAAAACATCATAGGCGCTTTTAAACGCGCCTGGACGTCATGGAAGAACGAACGTGGCTTCCACCTCAAGCGCAGAGTGCTCGTCACTTTCAGCAAGAAGGTGGAAGGCCTGCGTGCAGCCGAACTGTGGGATGGGCACCAAGAAGAAGCGAAGATGTGGAAAAAATACCAACCCGATGAGTACTTGCGTGACTGTTTTCCATCCCTATTGACATGTCTTCTCATGCACCCCTCGTGCATGCCCCACGTTGATGAAGCACATACCCCCAATGCATCCCCACTTTGGCACGCGACTACATACCTGCTCTCCTCGCCCAAGCTTGTAGCGCATGTGCAAACACATCCGCATGACAGCCATCCGTTGGTTTTCTCCCACACTCCCCTTCTCCTCCCGCCCCCCGTTTTACTCCCGCCCTCCTCTTCTCTCCCGCCACCCCCCTTCTCTCCCCCGCCTTCCTTCCTCTATACCCGCCCTCCCCTTCTCTCCCCGCCCTCCCCTTCTCTCCCGCCCTCCCCCTATCTTCCCGCCCACCCCTGCTCTCCCGCCTCTCGCCATTCATTCCCCCCCGCCCTCGATGTTCTCCATACCCTTTGGACACCTAACCATGTCATGCATGATCACGGATGTCTCATGCTTCCCCGCATTGTCATACATGCGCGCAAGAGGGAAACAGCGGGTCAGCTCGTGGGGAAACAACAGAGACGGGCTCCCGTTTGCCACGGCCCGGTTTGTAGATGCGGTCCGGGAAGCATTTCGGAATTTATGTGTCGGGCGCCGGGTGTGCGTCAAAGCATACCACATTGCCTGGTCAATCATGGTGGTACGCAATTATTGCTCAACCCATGGTATGCTCTAGCTTGGCATGCTGTTTTATAGTCCCTCGGCATGTATGTGGGGCATTTAGCGCAGCCTCTAAACTCTGCACGCGAGTGTCCACTGAAGTTGCTGTTTTTCCTCCATCCCATACTGTGCTATGCCTTTTCAGATTGACCAGGGCTTATCAAGGTTAAGAGGACTGACTGGAACGTCTCCAACTCCCACCGGAAGAACAGTGAATGGATTGGGGGTTTGCCACCGTAATGTGCGGTGGATTATCAAGGACCACTTCACACGCCACACCCCTGTGTACAACACAGACATGAAGGCTTCAATGGGGCGACCGTGGGCTGTATGTTCACGAGTCAGGATTTGAGGCCTTCCGGGGAAGGCTGAGCTTGATGCCAAAACGAAGGACCTGAAGGAGGAAGAAAAGGAGGTGTACAACTCGGAGGACATGAGGAGGATAAGGAGGAGGAGGATGAGGAGGATGAGGGGAGGGAGGAGGAGGATGACGAGGAGGAGGACGAGGAGGAGGAGGAGGAGGAGGAGGAGGACGAGGAACCTTGGGGCAGGAGCGAGGAAGAGGAAAAGGCACAGAGACCTAGGGCAGGCGGGAGGGATGAGGAAGAGGATGAGAACGGGGGGGCAAGAGCTTAGGAGGGGCAGAAGGCACAAGGGAGGGAAAACCAGGGAAGCAGGAGGGAGCGGACGAGGAAGAGGAGAAGGAAGAGGAGCTGGGGGATAAGAAACAGGGGGGCAGGAGCGGAGGAAGGGCAGGAAGCACAAGAGAGGCAGAGGGCAGGGAAGCAGGAGGGAAGAGGAAGTGGAGGAAGATGAGGAAGAGGAGGAGCAGGAGGATGAGAAACAGGGGGGG